CCGGAACCGACGGCCGGCCGGTTCGGCTGGTTCAAAAAATAATTTTTAAAAAATACTTCCGGCCAAAAAAAAAAAAAAAAAATTACCTTGTTGGAGAAGAATCATTTGCCGAGGCCGTAGAATTTTTTCGACATTTTTTTGGATTTTTTTTGATGCTCGAATCGTTCGTTGAAGTTCGGAAGTTTAGAGAGATAGAAAGTTTAGAGAGATGAAATCAAAAAAAGGGTTAAGGGCAAAAGAGTAATTGGGGGGAGGGCGGTGACTAGTAAAAGGGGGCGGTGAATAGCAATTGAGATTATAAACCTGCTTTTTTTTGTATCCCTCTTGTATTTTTATTCGAACCAATTCTCTTGATACATGTTTAAATTTCGTGAATCAAATTGGAGAATGAAAAACATAAATTTATCAAAGAGAATGGTGGAATGAAATAAATTCATTCTTTTCCTCTTTGTAGGAATTATTTTCAGATTGTTTCATCAACATCACAAGTCTGCAGCTGAAAATCACTTTAATTATTTTTTAGTCTAAAAGCTGGGTAATTGTATTTTTGTCAGTCATAATTTATTACTGTTGTAAATTTATTGTTTGTATTGTTTCCAATTGGCAATATCCTTTTATAGGAAAACAAATTGTCAAATACCAAGAGAAATACAGCGTTCATTTTCGATTTTAGTGAAAATTCCGATAATTGGAGGCTGCAAACCTGGGCAACACTGCAACTAGTGGTTTATATGTAAGCAAATAGGCCCAACTATGAAGTTTTCAGCTCTCTAATAATTATTATCATTATTATAGCATGTAGTAGGTACAAAAGGCCCATGTTCTACTTTAAAGTCTGCTAAAGGAAAGCCCATTTTGATATTAGCGCTACGTTCATTTTATTGTCCAATAAGACCAAATTATCGATTTCTTTTTTGTAAAAAATGATATATTTTTCCTTTAAGTTCACTATTAAATACATAAATTGCCAACTGATAAGGTTCCGTGTAAGTGGCTCCGGTTCAGAATGGTCCTTGGTTCGAGGGTGCGTCTTCCTCTCCCCGGTTTCCGGTCTGAGATGAAGCTCGTGAGTGCCTGCAAAGTACGCCGGAGGTTTTCCGGCGTAAAACCCTCCAAAGCTTAAGTTAGTATTTGGGAGACTGAGTAGTGAAGAAGATGAACAGTAATGGTATTTAGGTAGTTCCACCATAAATGTGACTTACACTGTTTCCGTATATATAGGCAATTATCATTTGGATGGTTATCTTAAAAATATTCGCATTAATTCCCGGTTATTTGTGAGGTCAAGGGTCGATCCCCTCAAGCTCGATCATGTGGGATGAAGGGTCGATCCCCTCAAGCTCGATCATGCAGCTGGGCCGATTTCAAGGGTTACGACCCTTATCTCGGGTGGTTCGATCCATGCGCACTTATATCCCTATCACCAACTTTGGTCTTGTTTTGTCGGAATTCTCATTGGGTTACAAGAAATTTCTATTGAAATTGTCGGTAATTATAGCCACGGGAAAATTAACTTCATTTAAGATTTCAAAGATTTTAAAATTTTAGAAATTTTGGTGTATTTAATTTAAAATTTTTATGATTTCTAAAAGTCTTGAGGTATTCGATTGAATTTTTAAAGCCTTTATTAGTCATGAAATATTTAACTTATTTAAGATCGAGATTTGTTACAACGGTTAAGTTTTTTTGAAATTTCAAACGCAAATTACATATGCCCAACCCCACAAGCGAATTCCACCTTTAGACCTAACATTTTTTAAAAATTCACTAAAATCAACAAATTTAAAAAAAAGTTTTGAATTTATAAAAAAAACTAAAATGTTACTCAAAATTTTTCATTCAGATATTTTGCACGGAATATGATTGTATAAAATATAATTATTTTCTAATAGTTTATAATTGAAAAAGAAAAAAATCAATATTAGAACATTTTTTATAATTTTGAAGAAAAAGAGAGCATTTTATAATTTCCCGCCATAACCTCATCACAAAAAGATTTGAGTTGCTAGCTAAAAGCCTAAAATACACTACCCTACGTCCATCTATATTGCTTTGTATAATGATTGCCAATTCCATTATATTCCACATCCATGCAAAAGAGCTAGAAAGAGTTCCTCAAAAAAATACCTTTATACTTTTTGACCAATCCACTAGATGTTGTGTACTCAAACTAAACAACATGAACTCAAAACATGATTTCACTCTTTTGTCCCCCTCTTTTACTCTTCACTCCATGCCGAAAATCGGCCTTCGAAAAGCCGATAGGCTCGGTTTTCCAGCTTGCAACGACTGTGCCGCTAGCTGTGGTGGTGCCGATGTCACCCAATTTACATCGCCAGAAACCACTGCATCGTGAGTTGTACCTTTCTCAAGACTAGACGATGATGTACCACCAATATTGCCTTGCTCTCGATAGTTGTAGCCACACCCGTTGAAAAACCCCTCGTTGTTACTACTATCGTTTTCACTATCGATGGACAAGTTGGGCACAAATTCCATGTTGTACGGTGTTGTACCTTGAACCGATGTACCACTTGTGTTGGACCCTTGGAAAGGGTCGAGTAGGTCGGGACTAGGATTTGGGAAGCCTAGGGCGGCCCATAGGTTCGACGACTGTTGATGAACTTGTTTAACAACAGGCATTGCAAAATTCAGTGTCGAGAGTGAATTTTGCGACGAGAAGGGAAAAGATGGGGAGTATAGGTCAAGTTTGTTGGCATCAACTGTGGAAAGGGTCCCATCCACGCTCCTATTGTTCGATATTGGCCCGAGCGAGATTTTGGGTTTATTTACCATAGTGCCCCCGACCGGGAGATTGTTAGTGGCAATGCTTATCACGTCATATCGGCTCATGTCGAAATTGGTGACGGCATTTAGGCCCCGGAATTTAATGGCGGCTATGTCGTACGCCTCGGCTGCTTCTTCTTGAGTGCCTATTTACGAAAATTAACAAATGTAGCTTATAGTCATTTGACTATCCATCTACTCTATATTTGAGTGATATATAAGTTTATCGTTGGAAGAAAAAAAATAAAATTGGTACTATGAAAGAATAAATACAAATATATATATATATATATATATATATATATTGAAACAATTAGTCCTCTATTAGGTCGGGCTCAATTATTAGACTGACATACTATTTCAAAACATATGTACATTTTCCTCGTAAAACGCTTTACAAAAATAATATAAATCAATATAAATATGCATTTTTATTCAACATCTTCTTTACAAAAATAATATAAATCAGTATAAATATACACTCATTCAACAAATTTCTTATATGAAATAGCAAGTACACAACTTGTAACCTCTTTAATACTTCTTTACATTTCATTAATTTTGTTCTGTGCCACCGATTTTCAAAGCCAAACATGGTGCGACACATTGACGTGATTTTCATTTATTTTCCTATTTTTATTTAATATTATTGTTGGTAGAGGATATTTTAAAACATGCACCGCCTAATCGAACCAATAGAATCATAGTAACTTCAAAAAATGACATATTAAATGTGCATTTAAATTATTTGATGTTTGGCCCACTTTCGTAGTATACCTGTGACTACCACAAAATTAATTCATTTTCTTCCATTTTTTCTTTATTTTATTTTATTTGATTTTCTCTCATTNAATGAACATTTTAGACATTCAATCCTAGATGCACATAACTTGAAATTGAAATATATACTCTAAAAAAATGATATAAATAAAAGTATAATATATATAACAGCCATATATTGTATACTATTGTATATTATATTGTACAAATATTGTATAACAGCCATACATATTTTAGCCATATAATATTGTGTAACAGCTATAAAAGTACAATATGCTTGCCAGCTCGTCTAATAGTTTGCATGAAAAACTATAAGACAGAAAATACTTACTAAATGTGCCAAGATAAAGATCTCTATTGCCAGAGACCCTTCCAATTCTTGCTTGCCACCGGCCATGCTGGTGGTGCCTGAATATATTTTTTTTTTCAATTTAATAGAACAAAAAAAGTTATAGATAATTTTTGTCTATTTTATATTTTTCAAAAAAGGAAAAAAATGTTAAATAAAATCTGAATTATACAGACCTTGTGACTCCTCTGTAGATCGAGGCTCCCCTAGAAAACCCACTGCTTTTTCTGAAATCAAGAAAATATTAGTAAAAAAAAATCACATATTAGCAAAAGCAAAATGCACTAAGTAATTTCATAGTTCATACAAAGAAGAAACATGAATATTAATTTCATGAAATTAAAAAAAAAAAAGAGGATATAGTAGCAAAAATATAATTTCATTAATTATTCTGATAAGAAAAAGAAAACGAACAACCTTCTGAGTGCAGCAACAAATTCCTGCCTGGACATGTGTTTCATTTCTTCCAATTCCCTCTTATAATCTGTTACCTATAATTATATACATAAGGGAATTTAAAAAACAAATTGAAATAAATTTGGTAATTAATTTGCATGAAAGTAATTAGATAATTAATTTCAATAATATTTCACCGGAAAATTGGTGGTGGTGGTCGGACCCCAGTACTTGAGGGCTGCAAGATCATAAGCTCGAGCTGCTTTCTCTTCTTTATCATATCCACCTTTGTTTGATTAATAAATCATTAAATCATAATTCAACAAATAAATAAAAGTACCAATTTAGGCATCCAAAGAGAATCTCAGAAAAATTATTTGCAGTTTACTTCAAAGCAGAAAGATCTAGAAGCTTAGATTTAGTACTTACCCAAGTAAACTGAAGTATTTTGAAAAAAAATGATTGCAGTCCAAATAGCCCAGTGAACAATCATTCGTCACGTCCCATATTGCAAAAAGAGAAACAAGTACTATCAGTAAATTTATCTTCCACATAGAAATAAGAAAAAAAAAAAGAAAAAAAAAAGAACATTCATAGATAGAAAACCAAATGGATTAAAATAATTTTGAATTTCTTATAGTTCATCTGATTTAATTTCTTTGAAATACCAGATTATATACTTCTTGGAGTAAATGATAACATAAATTCTTGCGTGAGGCAATTTAATGCGGGTCGACCCGTCACATTTTTTTTAACGAAAAATGTATACTTATGTTTTGAAACGAAAATGACATATTTTTGTTTAGGTTATTTTTAGATTATATTTGTGAAAAGTATAGTTATCTCATTGTTATATCTGCCTAACAACAATTTTACCGATTCACCAAAACCCTAATGATATTACATATATGTATATATTATATATATAGTGCTATACAAACCTTGTCTGCCTTTACGACTTTGCCCTTCCCTTCTGCAACTGCTATCCCACATGTGAGCTTCAAATCTTCCAGTCCACCTATGTCTAATTTTGGAACAAACGAACAAATATAAAATAAAAATAATTAATGAATATTAATCAATTAAAGAAGTTATTAACAAGAAATCCTAGTTTGAAATATTTTATCCTAACATCATTCCTCGTTCAGAAAAAAACACACCTAGTGACTCCCCTGAAAACCGAAGTCCGGTGGCCGGAATTTTCCGTACCCTTCTTCACCGGTAGCTCAGCCGCCACTGCCGCCATTGCCGCCACCTGAATCTCGTCCTCAGGAAACCGGCCGCCGCCGGCGAAGCTATTGAGCTCCGAGCCACCGAGGAAATCCTCAAACTTCGGCTGGCCACCATTTTTTTTATCTACAGACAAGCCACCTTAATTTGTGAGAAAAATTTGTTAAGCAAAAAGAAAAAAAAAATAAAAATAAAAGGAAAGTTAGGAATAAAAGTAAAAAGGAGAGCTTACATGTGGTTGGATAAGAGTTGGAAGAGGAAAGAGAGAAGATGAGGGAGTTAGGGTTATTAGACTCCATTGTTGTGGAAAATGATGCTAAGGGTTTTCTTTGGGAAAGAGCAGAAGTTAAAGACTTAGTTGTGGACTTGTAGTTGTTGCTTTCAGTGTGTGTGTGTGAGAGAGAGAGTGTGTGTGTGTGTCAATGTGTTGAGAGAGATAGGAAGAGAGGAGGAGGATTTAAAAACACATTAGAGAGAGAGAGATTTTTTGTTCGTGGTTTCTTCATAGAGAGGTATTGGGAGATGCATGGTAAAAAAAAATAGACATGCACGAGGCAATTTTGGCTTTGTCCTCTCTTTTGCTTTTACAAAAAATACAAGAACAAAAATTGGAAATAATGTAATGAAAAATTTAAAAATGTTTACAATGATTTACGGTTTGCTTGAATACAAATATATCTGATCAAAACGAGTTTATTTGGTTAAGTAAGGTAAATTTTAAAAATATGACATGATTAGTTGTTAGTAAGATTTTGAATTTATATTAAAATAATAAATAAAATTGATTTGATTCAAAAATAGGAGAGGTATGATGTGAAGTAATGGTTAGTTAAAATTATTAGAGTGGGTAAATAGTGAATTAAAGTTGATGTGACGTGTAAGAATGATTGATTGTTATTATTTAATTATATTGTTAATATTTAAGATAGCGAAATTGGGTTTAAATTGAATTAGATTTTAGATATAAATTGAGTATGTATTGAGTTATTCTATAAGCAAACACAACCTTAGGGTTCTTATAAAATATAAAAATAACTTTTGTGATGATAAAAATATACCAATTAATTAAAATCCAGCATATATTTTCAATAACTGAAGTAAATGTTCATAACTAATTAAAAAGGTGAAAAAACTACTTGTATAATTTTTTTGTACAATATTTCATGACAGCACGCATAATGTGATATAAATAAAAGTATGATAACAGATGGTTGAAATACAAATAAATGTATTGTAAGATTTGGCTCTGATACAAATTTATACAACACTTATTTAACAGTGTGTTGTCAATTATAATTGTACATAACACTCCCATATAATACCAATCACAAACAATGGTCGAGTATAAATTACATATAAAATAACAAATTTATGATAATATTTTGATTGTTTAGAAAATTATTATTTTTATTATTATTTTATTTTTCCTTGCCTTTTCTTGTTGATAATGGAACGAGACATTCGGGTAATCACAAACAATGGTCGAGTATAAATTACATATAAAATAACAAATTTATGATAATAATTTGATTGTTTAGAAAATTATTATTTTTATTATTATTTTATTTTTCCTTGCCTTTTCTTGTTGATAATGGAACGAGACATTCGGGTAACAAAAGAAGCAACAAAAGTAGAATATTTTAAATGAACATTTGAATTAACTATTAAATGGAAAATGGACATGAATGGAAATACTAACAAAGCTTATTGCGGAGAACAGGCAAATGTCTATTTATTATAGGATGACTAAGGCGGTCCTCAGTTACCTGTCTCTTCATCATTCAAAGCTAACAATTATTTATACACAGAGTATAATATAACTGTGTCTATATTTATATATATTTCTGCAGATAATTTATTTTTCCCTATTACAGTTCAATTATCGATTTTTTATCCAATGTTTAATTGTTGAATTAATACGAACACACACATATAACATATTGTAAATATATGGGTTAATTTAATGGTAAAATATTGCAAATCATTTCACCCTCCGGCCATTTTCACGGCTTATGTTGGTCTCACTTTCTAAGTAAAATTACTATTTAATATAAATGAAAATTATTATTTAAAAAGTTATACTTGATTGAGCCATGGAACATTTTGAGTGAACATTGGTGAAATGAGAAAATTATTTTTTTTTAAGGATAAAATTAGTAATGGAAATGAAATCATAATTTGAGGGGCTGTCTTTTGTCTCCGGTCAAAGGATATTAAAGTGAACCAAAATGATTCCACACGTTTGTGCCCTTATTCATTATTGTTATTGCACCATCTTCACTTATCTCTTTTCCCCACTCAATCATCACCATTCCCCCCAAAATATTAATTAATTCTCCATCTTTTATTTTTTTGGCTTGAGTTATTTAATAATTCAAAATAATAATAATAATAATAATTAATAAATAAATAAATAAATAAATAAATAAAACAATCACTATAAATAAATTTGATGTCCCCTTGAATGACTTATAAATATAATCTCCAATTTAATCACAAAAAAGAACCTTCAAACGTTATAGATTTGTGGTGATTTTCATTAAATGTTGAATAAACCATACCTTACGATTCCAGAGACACAATCACTTCCCTAATACGGATCTAAAAGTTAAATTCATGCAAATTCTTGCGCCTAATAGTCTAGAGGTTATACAGGCCCGACCCGTCATACTTTTCACAACAAATTGCTCTTTTCACAACAAATTGCATATTTGTACTACAAAATGTCATACTTTTATATTTATGTTAATTTTAAGAATCACATTTAAATTTGAAAATATGCATATATGTAAAAAAAATTATGACTGCATACGGGACAACTTACAGGACGAAGGCAGTTGGAGATAGTCTAAGACCATCTTATCAATGTTCCCTAGTCCATCCAACTTGTATTCTTGAGGGCTATAAATGATCAACATAAAAATAAATAAATAATAAAAAAATACGTCGTTTGGATAAAAGACAACGTTCACTAGATGATTCCATTTAGCAATTACGGTATCATCTTGCATTCTTGAGAGCTAAATGCTTGCAATTAAATGAGAATGATAAAGTGTAGTCACTAAATCACTGTTATTTAGCATTCCAGCAGTGGGCATGTACTCAGAGAAAGTGGTTTGGGATCTCATCATAAACATTCACAGGGCTGAACATATTGGGAAAAGAAAAACAGATACAAAATATGAAGAATCAAATGCTTTGGCTGGGAGAAGAAGGTAGTACAAGCAACCAGTAAAGATAAACAAAACAAAAACAAGCTTATCAAAAATTTTTAATTGGTTAAATTCTTTGTCTGCCAATCTTCAAAGCAGTTTCATTCAAATTTCTATACGACGAGATGGATGCATCAATATCATTACTCTAATGCATGAAGACTGAAATTTAAATAACCAACATTTCTCAGCTCCTAGAGTAGTTTTTCTTGAGATAAGCTTCTAGAGATAAAGGAACGTCTAAAAGCTTAATATGAATGTCATACAATCTTTTCACAAGTTAATTTGCAATCAAGGAGCTTCATATGAATGCCATAAAGAAATGTTGCATAGTTTTCCAAGATATCAATAATGTGTAATGTGCCTTCATGGTTAAATTGATTGATATTCTTGATCTTATCATAGAGTACCATTTTAGATTTCAAAAAAAGTCTACAGCAGAAGCTTGCCTGAGAATAAGATGAGAAATAACTTAAAGGTGCATCCAACGCAACACTGCCCCATGAAAGAAGAGATAGAGTTATAGTTGCTACAAAAGCATAAATGCATTTCCCATCGACAGTGTAACACATGAAAATGATGTTAATCTCTGCAGCCTCCGTTTAGAAGCCAATACCTAACAGCATAAACCATAACTTGCTTCTTCATCTTAAATCTTTTCAGATGCCTTGCGATTTTTCCAACTTTAAAATTTACATTAAACCTTCAACTTCTTTGGTGTCTTGTGGATCATTTACCCTTCCAATGAATATTATATTAGCCAAAGCTCACACAGATACAAAAGTTAAGGTCAATTTGAGGAATCTCCTACTACTCATCTTTGAAATCCGTGGACAAATTACGGTATAGATTATAATATTCACGCACTTCATGATAAATTCTGTTTCCAGATAATATATATACACTTAGACTTACACATAGATATCACTAGACGAA